TTGATGTTCTAGTGGTTGAAAGCGAAAACTGCACAGAGAAGGAGAAACATAGTTCCCAGGCTGATGGTCACTTGGTAGGATCCACTGTGCTTGTGAGTTGTCGTATGCGGTGGCTTAACCGTGGTGCCGTTGTGCTTACCAGTGCTTCCAGTCACGGTAGGCATGTGCTTTGTCGTCTCCTTTCCGGTGGTCGGCTTGCCGGTAGTGGGAGCTTTTGTGGGGGCGGCAGTTGTCGGCTTGGTGGTAGTCGGCTTGGCCGTCGTTGATGCTGGGGCCGCTGGCTTTGATGTCACCGCAGCATTACTATAGCAAACGTGCAAAGCAACGAGGACACAGACGGTCACAAAGAGCAGTTGAACTTTCATTTCGATCGAGGGTTAACTTTGTTCGGTTGGCTGATGAAACGGTGGAAGGTTTACATGGACAGAGGACCAGAAGCAGGAGAGGCATTCAATTGAGCAGTTCAGTGAATAAAGAGTCCATTTAAATAGTTGTCCTGTAGAGCAAGGAAGATAGTGGAAACACCTCGCTGTGACCACTGCTTGGTCTGCCAAAAAGTAGAGGCACTGTTTGCCACCAGAAGATATGCCCATCAATACTCTTTGCTTCTGTTTCTACTGGCCTTCCCTTGTCAAGCATTCTCGACCCCAATCGACGTCATCTGCAGTGGCTAGCAATTGTTTTTCTGCACTACTCTACTATCACACAAACTATTGTTGCTTTCGATACGCCCCTCAAGTTCACACCGACCAAGTGTTACTGTACCAAATAGCAACAAAGATTATTGATACCAGCTGCATTGATTTTGTTGTACACTAAGCTAGCATTAAATTGCGCGTTTTCTAAAATGACTCACAAATACTTGAAACTAAAATAGTGCAAAACTGGTAAAAGTTGATAAATAATGTTAAATTAGTAACTGACCAAATAGTGATGTAGATTTGAGTTTTTGAATGTAACTAACAAACATACCCAAACTGTCAATGGAACATTGACGGCCAATGGACATTAGTTAAAAGTGTGTGTTGTAGTAAAAGCAGCAACTGTTGCAAAAAACTCCCATCATTGGTGCGATAACTGTCATCTCACTATTAATATACAATACACTTTAGTGGATGTTTTTTGGGTAGAAACAGATTTACACAAATTCCAAATTGATTTGTCATTTGTCGATTACGATGAATAAGCGTGGTAAAAAATGTAACGATTGCTTTATGATGTTGCTTTAGTATAACAAAACTATTTTTAATAAATCGATGCCAAAATTTCACAATGTTGTTTGAGATATTAGCACAACATAAGACGCAATAAATAATGACACTTTTAGCAAATAATTAAAGTTTAAGGATATTAGTTGAAAAATTTTTATGTGGTAATATTTGCTATAAATATTTAACTGAGCGTAACGAATTTGTCGACTTTCTTTTGGTTCGTTTAGTTGAATTTTTGTTCTCTTTGATATTCTAGACAAAAAATAATGATTTTGCTCCAAAGTAATAAATTGACTTTTTTGAAAAATACTGATTATTCTTTTTAAAGAAAGCAGCAGTTTGTGATTTAAAAAAATAAGCAGAACAAGGTATAACGCAGAGGTAAACGCATGTATTAATAATCCGACGCTAACTTTGCAAAGGAAAGCCATTGAGAGAAACATTATAATGTTGAAAATATTTAGTATAATAAAAAACAAAATGGGAATTGATAAGTATTGAATAAGATTAGCATTGATGTCTGCAAGAAGACGAATTTCATCAAGAATGCTAAGTTGTTCTTGAGTTGTCATTTCAAGTAATAATAAACTTTTTTCATAACCACAAAAAATTTTCCAGGTTGCATATTGAAAATAATGAAAAATTCCGCAAACCCAGTACTGAAATAGGGATGAGTACATACAACCATATCGAACAAGTTGTTTTGCATCAAATTGTTGAAAATTGATTTTGTCAAAGAAAAATATATAACATAGAAAAAAGTGTCCTCCAATGAAACCAGTTAAAATGTAACGCCATTTGTTGCCTTGAGAATAGAAAACAAAAAACACATCTGAATCAAGTAAATGAATGATTCGAGAACTAAAAATATACGAGTAGCTGACATTGACAACAAAAATATATGGATATACAAATTGGGCATTCAATTTCACCAACTGACCAAACATTGGCTTAGAAATGGCACATGTTTTACCCAGTGATTCAAGCTGCAGTGGATCTAAATAGAGAAAACCCAAGAAAATTGTTATGTCAATGCTAAGGTTCCAGAAAAAGTTGACGACCATGTGCGGATTTGAAAAATTAACCTTTTGCATTTGAACACCAATGTGTCTAGATTTAAAATAAAACTATCACAGTCAATATTATTAAATGACAATCAAACATACCCGAAATACAAAACAAGATACCGTAAACCGTTTGTTTGAATATTGAGTTCATTTAGTATTTGTTGTTTAAACTTGTACCACATTTTAACAAACTTGCCAAAAACTTTCAAGTTAAATTTTTGTTGTAAACATTGTAGTTACACTTTGAAAGTGTTTTTAGTTTGCACCTTTTAACCAAAATATTTAAGTATTTAAATATTACTTACGTCAACTTATTACTTTACCATTCACAAGAATTTCACAATTAACAATTGAATGAATATTTCAAAAACAAAAAACCGTAATTATTCTGTTGACGGAAATGCAGTTATTTTATTCTTTTTTATAGTAACAGGTTGGATGTTTTCAATGTTTATTTTAAAAATATAACCTTGAATAATACATTTTTAGGTCTCATAACTTTTAATACGAAACGATACAGCTAATCGATTTAAAAAAGTGTTTTGAATAGCAACATTACTACATCCGGCGTTCAGTATAATTGATTCATTAAATTTAAATAAAGTTTTAAATTATTAAAAAACATTAATGTTCAACAATGTTCAGTTTAAAAAGCTTAGTTTGTTTTATGTAACAGTTAAAAATCACTAAGTGTTTTGCTTACAATGATAAATCTAAATTTTTTATCAAAACTTCAAATTACTGTATTTAAAAAAAGCTTTATAATTTACATTGTTTCATTTTATCGATACAAACTTATGTCGCATTATCTAGATTTTTACAATAAATATGCCGTAAAACCATTAGGAAAAAATTGCAATGAGGACAATCAACAAAGAGTTTTGAAAATTGATATGCACAAGAAGTACACATTTACGTTGGGTAATATACACTTTTGCCAAAAATTTAGCAAATATGTTAAGTTACAATTATTTTGTTTCAGATGAGCACATTTCTATTATTTTTATGTTTTTTATTGCGCTTCGAGGTTTTTGTGCCTCTTTTATGCCATCATATGCTGCACATCCGACTTTGCCGATATATTTTGGTTCTTTTTTTCAAATGATGAATGTCCATCCATTTCACATTGAATTTCTGTTTCTATTGTGGTCGTCAAACTATTTAGCAAACATACTTGTTGCTTGGAAATTTAAAGTTCAAGATTTTGCCTGGATTGAAATAATTCGGTACTTTGAAGGATATGTTTCAGCAAAAAAGATAGGTCTTTCTGAGCAGGAAGGTCACTCATTGAGAAAACGAGCTCAATTAATACTCAAAATCGTTCACATTTCTGCCCTTTCAGTAGTCAATAACTCCATGATTCTTTTTGCCATGTTCTGCTACATCAAATACTATCCTCATTTTGAATTTCTTTTTTTTAATCTTATCTGGTTTTTGCTGTACACCAACTTCACTGTCCAATTAACTTATATGATTTACATGAATGCTGCCTACTTGTATTTAATGTGCACTTTAGTGCGAATGAAATTCAAAAGACTTCAACATTATTTGAGTAGTTTTGAAAACTTTAAAAATCGTTCCGGAAATTTTAGGTAAAACTTGAAAATTATTAGAAACGTTAAAGTTAATTTGTGTTTTTTGCAGAATTTATTCAAACAGTTTTGAGCGTCAAGTAGAACAAAGAACTATGCGCTCAGCAACAGTCGACATGATCACGTCTTGTAATTATTTAAATCGCCTTTTTCAAGAAAGTATCCGATACAATAATTTTTGGTCGCATTTGTTCTCAATTGCACTAGGTAAGCACTTGAAAGTACTTTACAATCAATAAATGATTAATTGGCATTATTCATGCATTTAGTTTGGCGCCTTTGGATAATAAATTTCATTTTGTACATAGTTTTATTCTACCCATTAGGTGCTCACTTTCTCTCTATCTTCCGCCTAATAACTGTAGTGGAAGTGCTTTCATTCTTTTCCATTGTTTATCAAGCTGCATTTATTTCAATCGACGCAAAAGCGATCGGCAAACAGATAAGGCAGTTTGTGGACCATCATACTGTGAAATCGTTATCTTTGAGAGTTAAAGTATTAAATCAATTCGAATTTCTTGAACTGCCTGCTAGCATTGGCTTGCAATTAGCCAATGGCGTTGTCGTCGAGCCTTTAACAATAATCTATGTATGCCATTTGCAAACCAAGCCATTTAAACTAACAGTAATATTTCTTTAGATTATTCGGGAGTTTAGTACTTGGTTTTTTCTGCTAGCATCAATATCATTTCAATTCATTTAAAAACAATATCTGCTCAGTTTTAATCAAAAAGATAGATATCTTGTGTTAAACAATCATTATAAATAATACAATTATACAAATAAAAATGTTAATAAGTGGAAAATTCAAATAATAACAGACAACCAATGATCAATGGAAAAAACAGAAATAATTTTACACAAACGACAAAGTAAATTTGACTGATAGAAAGAAAATGGAACATGTTCAGTCCCCGTCAACTGATGCGCATGAGTTGGAAATAAATAAATATGCCAAAGTTGTAAAGTTGAGCGAAATGCGAGATGTTTAGGTTTAGTGTGCTTGAAATGGAATTTTGTAAAAAAGATCGTTTGACGAAATTAAGACAATAAAAGAAAATTTTGCAAAGAAACATGCAGCTGTGACAAGAAAATAATGTGCAGTAATGTAAAGACAAGGTAAACGCTTTTTAAATAAACCTTCTTGGAGTGTTTTGTTGCTGCTGCTGTTGCTTTTTTGTCATCCAAAAGTAATTATGGATTGTAAAAGCGTCAATGGTAACGCACAAATGTTTTGTTTGAATTGCAGTGAACGCTTTAGTTCCCGAGTTGTATCTAGAAAAAAAATTTAAAGTTAAAAAACTGTATCTTGTAGAAGCTCATCTTGTAAATAACTTACTTGTAAAACTTTTCAATCATATCATTATTTACTGAACGAGGTCCAATGCCGTCAAGCTTAGTAACTTCATCACGCTCTGGATAGTACGAATATATGGCGCGATACTGTAGTCCCGAGTTGCGAAACAGTATCAAGTAGTATTTGCTATCACACGAGTTTATCACCTGTTTAGTGTAAACAAAGAACAATAATTAGTAAATGGAACGTTAAAAGAATTGCAAAAACTTACTTCTGCAACCCGACGGTTAGTCTCTGCATTGACGGCACCAGCTAAAACCACGTTGATCGCATTCAAAATGAGTGTTTTGTTTGACTTTTGCGATGGCTTAACAAATAACTTCGGTCCGTTGTACTCGTAGAAAGTGTTTGATGTAGGTCCAGTGCTGCTGAGGGCATACTCTCCAAAGGCTTCCCCGAATGGCCCCGAATGTGTGGGCGTAGTGACGGTGGAGTTCAGTTGGCTAGACAGTGCTGACTGCGGTCGAGAGGCATTGCTCATTCGGCTGACCAAGTCAATTTCATCCCGAGAGCTACTTAGACGGCCTGACTGAGGACCACTGTTCGCAATGGGGTTTCCGTCCAGTCCTATCAGGGTGGAGTGCAGTGACTTCGGCCGAGGCCGCCCACCGGCAGACATCAGTCGAGAAGGTCGCATGTTCACACTGGAGCCCTGTGGTGTCTGTCTGTTGAGAACTAGAGTGCTGGAGCTCCTCGACACGGCCAAGGGACCGCCATTCTTCTCAATCTCCTCCTCAATCTGCTTGCGCTGCTTGTACTGCTCTAAAATGAAAGCTCTCTTTGCTTTTTCCTCTTCCTTCTTACGTTCGGATTGTTCGCGTCTAATCTGTTCCGCTTCCCGTTTAGCTGCCAGCTCTTGCTCTTTTTGCAGTCTTTTCTCCTCCTGTTCAATTCGCCGTCGAAGAGACTGTTTCATAATCAACTCTTTCTTCCGAGTCATATCCTCTTCCGTAACCGGACGTGGCCGACCTTCATCATCCAGTTCTTGGTTCGCCTCCTCTTCAGCATTAGTGTACACCTTCTCAGGTGAGGCCTCATCAGTTTCAACTGCACCGACAACAAAGGCAACACCCGGCGCAGCTGCTGGTCTTTTCACTTCGTAAAGCTGCTTGACCAATTCAGGATTTGTCACTGGACTTTTCACTGGCTTGTTAAAAACAGCAGCACTCTCCTCTTTGCTCGGTGTCGCATTTTCCTGTGGCGCTCGAGAAACCAAAGTTTGCGTTGCTGTCCGAGTCAACGGCTGCTTTTCAGTTGGTGACAGTAAATCCATTTTGGCTTTAGGTGTCTTGTTGACGGCTTGCTTGCTTCGATTCACCGCTGGCCGCTCATCGGTGAATGAAATAAAGAAGGCTTCGTTGTGCTTTTCAGAAGATGGTGTCGTAGCTTCAGCTGCTGCAACGCTTTGTCCTCCTTCTTCAATATTGTTGTTGTTGTTGTTAGTAGCAGTAAGTGAGTTGTGCGGCAAACTATTCAAATGATTAGCTGAACTACTAAACTCCGATGTAGGCTGCTGCTGCTGATGATGATGAGTATTTGGGTGTTCAGAAAAGGTGCCGTTACTCTTTTGCACCCGAAATGTGGCCGAACCCATCTGGTGCTGAGTGATTTGTGCCATCTGTGATGAGTTGTGCACAGGCGATGGAGAGTATGCTGAACCGGGTGCGCCAGCAGTGTTCCCAGCACTGGGTGGTGTCGGTGCCGTCTGCTGCTGCATGTACCCAATGGACATGTACTGCTCCGGGGTGGCATACGGCGGAACGCCGTACTGCGCCGGCTCCATGTGCAATGCGTAGGGAGGTCTGCTGAGGGGAGGGGCAGTACCCGGTGGCATACCATACGGATAGGGGTAGGCGCCAGGATGGGGCGGCATGTGGTGAGCTGGGGGATAGGCCGCCGCCGCCGCCTGGTTGCTGTACCAGCCTGGGGGAGCAGCTTGTGACCATGTGGGAGGTGTAGGGGCTGACTGCTGAGGAGGGTAGTGACCACCGCCAAGTGGCACCATTGGCTGGCCCCATNTCGGCATACGGTCCGCCTGGGGGAGCAGCTTGTGACCATGTGGGAGGTGTAGGGGCTGACTGCTGAGGAGGGTAGTGACCACCGCCAAGTGGCACCATTGGCTGGCCCCATTGACTGCGTCGAGGCGTAGTGTTGTTCACAATGGCCCCTGGACTGCTCGTCGGAGGAGCCATCTGACCGGAAACCGGAGACACGACGGCTGCTNTGAGGAGGGTAGTGACCACCGCCAAGTGGCACCATTGGCTGGCCCCATTGACTGCGTCGAGGCGTAGTGTTGTTCACAATGGCCCCTGGACTGCTCGTCGGAGGAGCCATCTGACCGGAAACCGGAGACACGACGGCTGCTTCTTTAGAATCAGGGGGCAGTGCTGACTGGCTTTGTTGAGCTGCGCTGGCTGAAATGACAGGCTCGGACGTCGGCGATCTAAAGTTTTTCTCTTCGGTAGACAGCGTTTCGGTGGAATGATTAGAAAAGTTCTTTGAGGGAGAGTAAGATTCGGCGTCGAACTTTGGCTTTTCACTGCCATCTTTAGCATTTGAGTAATTCAAGTCAGTCATTGAAGCTTTCAGATCCTCAGAAGCGGAAAACAAATTTTTGCGCATATAAGTAGAAGAATTGTTCAATGATTTACTAGAAGCAAGGGACGTAAACGTTTTTTCTCGACGAATAGGATTCAGTTCGTGAATTTCAAACGTCAGATTTTCATCATCAACAGCAGCAGAGTTGTTGTTAACGGTGTCCATCATTTTGACGCCATTTTCCGAAGCGTCAACGTCTGAATTGGAGTCCTCGTTAGGATGAATGCCCTTCAAAGTGCGCAACACCTCCTGTCTAAAATTCTGATCTACCGAAGCTCGTTTCTCGCGTTCCTGTTGTCGTTCAAGCTCAATCTGCTTTCGCTTTTCATTCAGCTGAGCTCTAACCAAGTCCGAGTATTCAGATAGCTCTGCTATGCTGGAAGTCTCACTAGACGTCGTCTGGCTGCTGTCCACGTTAGCGGTGTTTGCGAATGCCGAGTGGTGCTGGTGCATTTCGTGGGCCAGCAGTGACTTTACATTGTCGGCATTGTTTGGGTGCGCCACTTTGGCTCTGACGTGAGTGCTCAGTCGATTGGCGTTATAGCTTGCCTCGGGCTGGCTCGGTGTGCCGGCAGCCGTCAGATTGGAGAAATAGTCAGTCAGATGGCCGCTGGGTACACGATTTCGATTTTTGTAATACTCTTGATCGGGGTTGTTTAATGCTGAAGGACCACCACCACTGCCACCACCACCTCCACTCTGTCTGTTGTTAGAAATACTGAGAGTTGAAAAGTATGAAGACAACTGGCCACCAGAATCTCCCGCCACTCCATTTTCGCTGTCTCCATCTCCGTGAAAGTGCTGATGATGTCTACCCCCATTTGAATATGTCTCTTCCATTTCAGGGGCGTTCAGTTGCCGCTCAACCTGAGGTTGAGATTCACTGCCATTGGACATGATGGAAGAACGGCGGTGAAGGACACGACTTCCATTGTTGTTGTTGGTAGTTAGCGAATTACGTCGACTAGACTGGTTCAAAGCGGTATTACTTCCTGACTTGTAGGAGCTACGTCGGTCGTTGTACAGTTGGTGGGTGGAAGGGTGATTGAAGAAGGCGGACTCTCCGGGAGACATTTCCAGTGAGTCGTTCCAGGACTGGTGCTTCAGCGAACGAGCTTTCATTTCCGATGGGGTAGGGAGCGGTGGGTAGTCTGCGAGTGAATTAAGTTAGTTTGCACAAACAAAAGAGGCCACCTCTCTTTACTTACTTGGTTGGTACTCGTCACCATAGCCTTCGGGGAAAAGGCGAAGGTATGGCGCCGTCACACATTCAACAGGTTGAATCTCAAAAAGAAACAACAGGTCGGCGATGAATGCAAGGAAATTGGGCACAAGAGGTTCAGGAAGGTAGAGAAAGTCTTCCAGCGTGAGAAAGCACACATCAGAAGGAAAGTGTTCGGCTGTGAAGTACTGCACGCGCTGTAAGTTGTAGATGGAGTCGGCAATGGAAATGTCTTGTTTCAGGCAAATTTCGTGCCAGTCTAACTGCGTCGGACAGTAGAAGGCAAGCAGGCCAAAGAGTGAACAGCCATCACACATGTCCGACAGCTCATCGAGTGAAGGAACTACCGGACAGGGCTCATCAGGATCAATCTGCGAGACATCGTCTTGGTTCATATAATCACGAGCAATTTCCTGGTTCAGCTGAGCACAGGCACGATTCACCCAAAAGAGTGCAACATCTTCAGGTTCCGAAGAAGGAGGAAGGTCATGCTCACTGGAGGCAGGATCAAAGGACTCAAAATCGCCTGTAAACCGCGACACAACCTCGCCAACTTTCACAGGAATCAGAATCTCTCGCACGTAAAGGGTGAGTATGCACTCTATTATTATCATGTGTGCATTCTATAAATGAAAACAAATGATTACCAAAATAATTCAAACAAGTCATTCTCAGCTCATCACTTACCAACTTGACGGGCGAAGTCTTCAAAAGCAACGTCTCCGTAATAGGTTCATCACAATTGCCCATTTCTTGGACGTAGATTCCTCTTCGAGTGAGCAGCTGAAGAATGCCCTGATGCCCCAGACAGCTGTAGTCAGGCACCCCGTAAATGTTGGCCAGCGCTCGACCATACAGTTCTCCGCTGGCCAGCCGTTGAGTGATCCACGGCTTGAGTGATTCCTGTCCATTGTGGTCTCGATAGAAAGGGTCGCGAAGCTCGGCAGGAATTCGTCCATTTTCAGTTGATTTTGCAATGAGCCATAAGATAGAGGCGCGTTGTTTTGCCTGTCAAGTGAAAAAAACCAATTAATAGGCTGTTCAAGTACGACTCGATAACTTCCTCGCGCCAAACATCAAATTTGGAAGTGGCAAATTATGACATCTTTTAGTGAAAGTGTTCATCAAGATATTTTCTCTCTTAATGAGCGCACACCGATTGCACAATGAGTTCATAATTTGGCGTTGCATCATCACTAACTGCCTGACTGGCTCTCATCAGATCGTACCAAATTCCAATGCAAACATCAAGTGCACTTCACACTTTCAATTATGCTGAAGGACTTAAATATAGCAACAGTAGTTCTTGTCATGCGTGCACTACCAGCGAGGCCACAGCAAGTGTCCATAAGAGGAAACACCCCCCACCTACACAGAAGACGGGCACAATGACCGTCAGCTGACAGGCCGTCATCGTTGCTCACAGCGAGCACAGTCCATCCGCCGTACGTAAGCTACTATCTAAAGGGAGCAAACCGCTCTGGCACCTCTACGACTATAAATACAAAAGATAAACAGACAGATAGTGAAAAGTGAATGGAGGAAAATGCAATT